TATATGTTAGGTCGTGGCTCCTTTGCCATTGTCATGCTTGCAGTGCTATTTCTAAAGTGTTGCAGTAGGGGACTGAGAAGTGTTCTATGTTGGTACTTGCAAAGCTACGTTCCAGTAAGGTGGCATTAGATTTATAAACCTCCAAAAGCTATAACTCCCTTCAGTAAACATTCGCTGAATGGCAGTTACGTGCCAGGCACATGGGTGAAATTGAACAAACTGACAAAAATCTTTGTCCCTGTGGGATGTGCTGTCAAACTCGACTCATTTATTTGAATTATTGCTTCAGAGCTCTAGAATTCTGAAGTCAACGGTTGATGTTACAAACTGTGACTGTGTTTGGCCTTCAGAAACCTTGCCACTTGCCTTTTTCATCTCTTTTATTTCTTTTATTGCAGTTTTTGGCCAGGGCCGGGTTTGAACCTGCCACCTCCAGTATATGGGGCCGGCGTCCTACTCTTTGAGCCACAGGTGCCACCCCCCACCTGCCTTTTGAAGCAACATTTCCTTGATTGCCTTGTCACTTTGTTGTCACCTCTGTATGGATCAACTGTCATTGTTAGAGTAGAAAATTCATTTAGACACCTACCTTTGCCACTTTCTCATCTCCATTTAGGCAATGTTTGTCAGATTGCCCAAAAAATTATTTCATGTTAAAGGGAAGTGAGTTTCCACTGGAGGAGGGGAGGAGACATGAGTCTCTCCACACCATGGTCTCCACTCTCTCTCCTTCAGCTATAGAGATGTGGAACTATACATTAGAAGGAGGCTATGTAGCCCACAGACCTGCGCTCCAAGCAAGAACTGTAATTATGCCAAATAAAACTGAAGCAGCGTATTAAAAAGGATTCGTTTGGTTGTAAAATATAGCTTGTGTGGGGGAAACCACCAGTTCCTAAGTCCTGCTTGTGCACACAGTTTCAGTCAGCATCGTAGCACCTTACCTTTTTTTTCAACTTTATTGTGGTAAGAACACTTAACACGACCTCTGTCTTCCCAACAGATTTTTAAGTGTATAATAAAGTATTGCTACAATTTTCAGCAGATCTCTAAAACTTACCTTGCATAACTGAAATTTCATACTCACAAACTGCCAAATCTCCCATTCTCCCTTCCCCCAGCCCCTGGCAACCACCATTCTACTCTCTGCTTCTCTGGGTTTGACCACTTTACATACTTAATGTAATTGTAGTCATGTGGTATTTTTCCTTCTGTGACTGGCTCATTTCACTCAGCATAACGTCCTCCAAGTCCCTCCATGTTAATCTACAGTCCCCTGTTCTTGGCGTGTGTGTTTTGACAGCAGTATGCATCTGGCTCAAGCATTCTGGGATGTAAGGGAGATAATGTTCTTTTTTTTTTTTTTTGAGACAGAGTCTCACTATGTTGCCCTCAGTAGAGTGCTATGCCGTCACAGCTCACAGCAACCTCAAACTCTTGCGCTTAAGCGATTCTCTTGCCTCAGTCTCTCAAGTAGCTGGGACTACAGGAGCCCGCCACAATGCCCAGCTATTTTTTGTTTTTGTTGTTGTTGCAGTTGCCATTGTTGTTTAGCTGGCCCAGGCTGGGTTCGAGCCCATCACCCTGGGTGTATGTGACTGGCGCTGTAACCACTGTGCTATGGGTGCCAAGCTGGAAGATAAAGTTCTTAAAATGGGCAATGTTGACTACAAACTTGCTATTTTAAAAAACCCTATTTTTATCCAAAGTTCTTCTGGCTTATTTCTTAACAAAGTGTCAATTTGCAGATTTCTGTAAGGATGAGAGAGAGAATCATCTAGGCCAGTGGTTCTCAACCTATGGGTTATGACCCTTTGTAATGAGGAAAATACATCCTGCATATCAGATACTTACATTTACAATTCATAACAGTAGCAAAATTACAGTTATGAAGTAGCAATAAAAATGTTGTGGTTGGGGACACCACAACATGAGGAACTGTATTAAAGGGTGGTGGCATTAGGAGACATTAGGAAGGTTAAGAACCACTGATCTAAGCTGTGAGGAAAGTCTAAAGGGTTTCCTATTGGTTGTACTCATACAACATACTTCTCAAACAAGTGGCAATATTCCTTACAGTGAATGGCTATCAGTAAGGGCAAGGTTAAATAAAATATGGTACAGCCATATCATGACATGCTACATAACCCACAAAAATCATGATTTTGACAAACATTTCTTACATAGGAAAACAGTCATAATGTATGGCTAAATGAAAAAACGTGGGTTATAAAATATGTGTAGTCTAATAGTATTTCTATTAAAACAAACTAAAGCCCTTCATTGTATAATTTCTGCACTTGTAAATATTTCAGTTATTATAAAAAGGGTATGTTCCAAAGATAAACCAGGGAATAGAGCCCTTTTAAAATAAGACTAAAAACATGTATTTTCAAAAAACAAAATTCCATCTGAAGCAGCTATAAGGAAATTGTTTTCCCAACAATTTTGTTTTTGTATTTTCTACTTCCAATCTTCTCATTTGTGTGGCTCACACGTCCTTTTGCCATGACTATTTGGCCCCAAATTAAGATGTGGTGCATAAACTCGTTGGACATCAAGTTCTGCAGTACCCACAGAAACTAGCTCTGGCATGAACTGAGGAAACTCAAGGTCTCTGGAGCCAGGAAGTCCGTGAAGTATATAAAATGAAGACTGAAAGTGAGCAAGGTGCAAACATATTTGGACAAAACAGCATTTTTGTTTTACCCCGGTAAAACCTCAGTAGGAGTGCTTCTAATTTATTGCATCCTTAAGTATAAAAATGGATATTCATTTAATATTACTATTTATTTTCATCATTTAAAAGAAACATCCTTATAATTCTATTTTTTAAAAATGCTTATTGAATTAAAAAGCAAAAATATATAGTTTTCTCATATTATAATATAGCGGATTAAACATCATACTTACTACAACAGTCACCAATATCATAACTCATCTGAGTAATTACTAAGAACAAGACATTCTCTTGGTAAGACTTGAAATCTCTTGTGACTTGGAAGGCAAGCCATCAGTAACTCAGTAACTCAGTAATCCTGGAGGAGCGAAGTTCAGTCCTGTAGTAGTAAGGCTACTGTTAAACATTAAGCATTTTTTGACAGTTCCTTAAAGGATTAGTGGAGAAAAATTGCACTTAGGATTTTGAAGATCATTTCCTTACCACCCTTCACAATCATTTCCCTGAGTACATATTCTGTTGGCTATGAGACCATTTCCCTGAGCACGCAGCCCCTGCATGTCTTTGCTTAGTAATCTTTCTGCCTATTACGTAAATTCTCAATAAAAGGACTCTGTGAGAAGTGCTCAGGGCTATCCTGCACCTATGGTTAGCCTCACCTCTTGCAGCCCGTACTGTCTTGCTTGATCATTTATGTGGTCGCAACATTATAACTTTCAAAATCCTGTCCTACATTGGACATTTAGGTGGTTTCAGTTATTCACTATTATAAATATTGCTGGCATAAAAAACTCTATACATGAATCCAGCTGGGAAAATATGCAGTGGGCCAATGCAGAAGAGAATTGGAACCAGGTCCTCAGAATGGAATAAGGGTGGAAACTTTAGTGAGGCTACAGTACCATGAAGTTTAGCCATAGGTATTATTAGAGCTGGTCAGAAAGGGAGAGAATAATTCAGAGCATCCTGCCTGGGGAGCAAGGCTGAAAATAAACAGTGGGGAGCTGGTTTCTTGGCAAGAGTAGAGTGGAAGTTAGAAAGGAAATCCCTGAGCATGTTTATGAAGTCACACCGGGAAGTCAAATAAAAACAGGACATTTCTAATGGATGAATAAAAGTCAATACTCCCCACCCCGTTGCACTTTTTGTGTGACATCCTAACATATGCAGAAAGGTTGGTAAGATTTCAGATTTGTATGAATAGTAAACACTTTATCCTAATTCTTGGCATTTTTTTGGTGTTAAATTTCTTGACTAAGATGTGACCCTTCAGTTTTAGCCATTGGCCTGTGACACTGTTTCTGAAGTAGCCAGTGATGAAAGAGTTCCATAAACAAGGTGGTGGCTGGAATTGGCTGGCATGAACGGACTCATCTACCACATTTTGACTAAATGGAAATTTTTGTATTAAATCTGGAAAAGTTTGGATCTTGACTCGAGATTATTGACTATTTCACAGTGTAAATATTTTTAAGTAGGTAAGAGACATACTCAGTCTACAAATCTGTTGACTAGACTTGATTTGTTACAGTAAAAACAGTAATGAACTTGAGAATAGTGAAAGTGAGGAAGTTTTAAGATGAGCTTATCCTGGAGAAGAAGGAGAACGAAAGGTATATAACCAGGATATTAAGAAAAATAATTTTGCTAGGAAGTTCAGTGAAAGCCTAAGTAGATCACAATGGTTATGTGTAACATGAAAAAGCAGAAAACCCCAAATATAAAAAAAACCCAGAGTAATAAGTGAACAAGTTTAGTGCAGAGTGTAAAGAACTTAGGTAATTATTTAAAATAATATTTTAATGAATGGGAAATTGTGCAATATCAATGGTTGTTTCTAGAAATTGAATTACAGATGAATTTTTTTTCTGGCTGTTTCTTTATTTTCCAGTTATTCTCTACTGCATATATATTACTTTGAAAAATAGGGGGAAAAGAAGAGGATTTTCCCACTTCTTTTAAACTTCTTTTTTTTTTTTTTTAGCCCAGCAGTATGCTTAAAATCTTCCCCATCCCAGCCCTTTTTTAGATCTTCACTATAAACTTTCTGGCTCCTTACTATTTAGTGAACAAATTCTGGAGAAGTGTGCTCTACCAAGGCTAACATAAAAACGGCTGGCCATGAGTCAAAGACTTTTCATCTGGGTCATTCATTTACTGACCATCATCTATTCATACCGGATTTAGTTTCCTCAGTGGATGAACACATTACCCAGACTGAAGACTCAGTAAATGCGCCTTTGTTTCATTATTGTTCCACATACTTGAAGAGTGAGCTGAATGAGAAGCCCAAAGGATTCTGACTCCGACAACTAAAAACAAGTAGACAATTTTCTTTCTTTGTTTTCAGGTGCTTAGTAAACTTTATCAATAGTTTTTCATTACTTTGGATTAATTTATAGACAGGTATTAATACCAATAATAGGGATTACAGACTAATATACATTTTTTACACATTTTAAATCCTGAAACAAGCTTGAGTTTCTTCTCTGTTCTTCAAACTTCAGGAGAAAGAGGGGCTTTTTATCCTCAATGAAAAATTATATTCATTTTATCCTAGAGTAAAAAAAAGAAAAATTGTGACCAAGTCTGTAAGTGTTTGACTTACTGTTCCCCACAGTACTTCATCTGTAGAGCAGACGGTGAGAGCCACACTGTATGATCTCAGGAGACAGCAAGACCGCTGCTGTGCTTCCCAGCCCCTCACTACTGGAGCACAGCTTCTGGACAAACAGCATCTTCCTGGCCTGGATAGATATGCAGATCTCGGATCCCACCCCAGACCTACGATATCAGAATCCACATTTCAGAAAAATACCCACGTAGGTACTTGCAAGCTTACCAGAGTTAGAAAGCTTTTTGTTTGTTTGTTTGTTTATTACAAGGCACAGAATAAGAAGGAATAATGATAGTAATGAATAATAAAACTTGTTAGTATGAAGAAAGCAGTAGATATTTCCCAGTCTCTTAACTGAAATGTGCTTTACAACTACAATTGTATGGGCTCAGCGCCCATAGCTCAGCGAGTAGGGCACCAGTCACATACACCAAAGCTGGTGGGTTTGAGCCCAGTCTGGGCCTGCTGAACAACAATAACAACTGCAACCACAAAATAGCTGGGTGTTGTGGTGGGCGCCTGGAGTCCAAGCTACTTGGGAGGCTGAGGCAAGAGAATCACTTAAGCCCAAGAGTTTGAGGTTGCTAAGAGCTGTGATGCCAAAGCACTCTATCGAGGGTAACATAATAGACTTTGTCTCAAAAAACAAAAACTACAATTGTATGATCATGATTTTAAATTTAAACTTTAAATGAAGTATATTAGATGTTGGAAAGGTCACAACTACCATGATCAGGAGCAGGAAAAAATGATGGTGAGGTTTGACTGAATTATCTACCCAAAGCACCGTTATGGGGCAAGTTCCTGGAAATCTTACTGTAATCCAGGGAAAACCTCTCTTTCGAAGTGTTAGTTCCAAGATGTATTTAAAATATATAGAGCTTCTCATGCCTTGCTTTTCCTTCTATCACTTAGCTGTCTCAAGCAGGGAAAACCATATACTTTTGAGGAAGAGAAAACATATGTGCGTTAGCATCAAGAAGATTCTGAACATAAAGCAGGCATTCATAGTTTTTCATTACTTTGGATTAATTTGTAGACAGGCATTAATACCAATAATGGGGATTACGGACTAATGTACATTTATAATATACATAATATTCATTCAACATACACTTGCTAGTTCATTCATCCATTGGTCTTTCAAATAGCAATTGAGCACCTGCTGTGCCCGGCCCTGTGCTAAGGGCCAGGTACACAGTGGAATGAAAGAGACGTGGTCACTGCCTTTATGGAGCTTTTGATGGGGTATGAATTACTACTGATAATTTCTGAAAATTACCTGTAGATTTTGTTCTGATGTGTCTGTGCCAAACATCTTCCTTTTCCATTGAAAATGAGAAATGTTTAATTCTTGGTTGTCAGTCTGACTTACACAGATTGATAAATTGTGACTGCATAGCAGATAGTAGCAGTTCCTATCAGAGGGCAAATATGCAGCTGGCAACTTACAGAAATGAAGCTGAGATATATGTCAATAATAGTTACATATTGTAACATGATCACTGTAAGGGGGTGGCCTGGGCTGGGGACAGCTGGCTGGAGGCTGCTAGGAAGATGATGTGGGTGAGTAACAGTGAACAGGAACCAGCAGCAAGACTCTCCTAAGTTGCATGGATGAAAGTAATATAATTATGAGAAAAATCAAACACTGTTCTTATCACATGTCTTCAATTGATGGATTAGGTAATTTATCTGACTTGTATGTCTTCAAATAAAGGTAAATGTAATGGTTTCAATCATAATACATCCATAATATGCATTTAGAAAGCCATTAATCATTGAAGTAAGTTGCTCTGTGAGTTTTCTTGGAATGATGGATTCATCTGCTATAAATGGAACCTAACAGAGTGAGTGGAAAGTTGTCGGGATAAACAGCACATGGCCCAGACTTGAGTTGAATCAGTCATTACTCCAGAACATTGATGTCTTTGTGGATTGTGAGTGTGGTTGCCTCCCAGATTCCTAAAACCCTGCATTCCCCCAAACCCTGGCACTTGTGTCCATTTAACCACAAGTTTGTGACTGTCACTTGTTGCCTGGTGACTAGGTCTTGGGCCTTGTCTTGGAGCTAAGGGCATAGTCTTGGAAGCCAGATGGATATGGGTGTGGTTCCGGCTCCACTACCTCCCAGATCTTAGGTAATGTCTCTATGCCTCAGTTTTCTTACCTGGAAAATGGAGATTATATTTCTGAACTCATATGATTGCGTGGATTAGATATCTATATAAAACACTTACTGTCATGCCTGACACATGGTAAATGGTGGCTATTACTACTTTATTATGGTTAAACCCACGTCTCTATAGCTGATTTCTGTTTGCTACATGAATCCCCTTTGGTAACAAGTGTTTTTGTTTTTGTTTTTAACCTCTTGTCTCAGTTTCTTAGTGGCTGTATTTCCCCCCACTGAATCCATATCCTAGAGGCTGCACTCCTGGCCTCCTGAGGACCCTTTTTCTGTGTGCTACTTTTGCTGAGCTCCCATCTCTCTCCAGGTCCACTAGACACCCTGGCTCCTGGGCCCTGTTTGGCTCAAAGCATAGTAGTGCCTTTGATTCGAAGCGTGGCATCTGGAGACAACCTGCCTTAGTTCAAATCCCAGTGCTTCCATTCACTGCCTATGTGACCCCAGGTATGTTATTCAACCTCTCTGTACCTCAGTTTTCTTATCTATAAAATGAACTATACATGTTTTGTGTAATTGTTATAAAGATTAAATAGAATATTAGGTATTATTGTATATGCTAAGAATCTAGAATAAGCAGTGCTAATAACATTGCTATTATGACTTCTTTCTTGGTTAAGAGCACCGTGCTTAGTTTTTACCCACTTCTCTTTTTTATCCATGGTTATCTCTCAACTGCAGATCACTTTTCATGACTCACACACCCAGCTGCAGGCACCTGGAGTATCCAGACACTGTGCTTCCATAGCAAGACCTCCACCTTCCCTGCATCCTGCAAACATGCCTGGCAGACACTGGCTGTGAGAGTGAGCCTTGAGCGCTCCTTCCTGCCAAAGTTTCTATCTGCTCAGGAATATCTGGCCACTGGCCCAGCCTGGTGACCTTTTTCCTAGAACAGGATGAAAGTAAGGCAGCCGCGCCAAGTAGTTGCCTCGTTCTTCCTTAATTCCTTTATCTCTCTTTCCTCATTCCCACTGTTCTAGATACTCTTCAAAGAAATAAATGTGGATATACTATTAGACACGGGAATTCCACTGTTTTTTGTTTTTTTTTTTTGAGAAAGAGCCTCAAGCTGTCCCCCTGGGTAGAGTGCCGTGGCATTACACTCACAGCAACCTCCAACTCCTGGGCTCAAGCGAGTCTCCTGCCTCCGCCTCCCAAGTAGCTGGGACCACAGGCGCCCGCCACAACGCCCGGCTATTTTTTGCTTGCAGCCGTCATTGTTGTTTGGCGGGTCTGGGCTGGGGATTCAAACCCACCACCTTAGGTGTACGTGGCTGGCGCCTTAGCCAGTTGAGCTATAGGCGCCGAGCCAGGGAATTCTCCTGTTTACCCAAAGGAAAAGACATCATTTTCTCAAAAAGACACCTGCACTCGAATGTTTATCACAGCTCAATTGACCATTGCAAACATGTGGAATCAACTTATGTACCCATTAATTATGAGTGAATTAAGAAAATGCGAACTACTCAGCTGTAGAAAGGAATGAAATAATGTCTTTTGCAGCAACTTGGATGGAACTGCAGACCATTAACTCTAAGTGAACGTTTTTCACTCCATCTCAGGATTGGAAAATTAGCACCACAAGGACTCCCACAATTGGGAGCTAAAGGATGAGCACACAGAGAGAGGCACAAAGATACAGAAAGGCCATGGGGAATCCGGAAGGAGGAGACTAGGTGTACGCGGCACCCTGCCTGGGTGAAAGGCTCGGCTGCAACTTCAATTTCACCTTGCAAATGCAAACAATGTAACTTAATCATATGTACCTTCATATTAAGCCGAGATTTAAAAAAAGAGAGAGAGAAGGAAAAAAAAAGGATAGGGGAGGAAGGGAGGTCTTGGAGGGTAGGGACTTGCCCATTGGGTACAACAAACCCTGTTCTGTGATGGGCTCCCTGAAGGCCCCAACTTAAGCATTGTGCCAGGCAGCCACGTAACAGGAACATTCTTAGCCCTCTTAATATTTTGAAATTTTAAAATAGTCTAAGAGGTCAGGTGCGGTGACTCACACTTGTAAACCTGGCACTTTGGGAGGCCAAGGAGGGAAGATCACTTGGGGTGAGGATTTCAAGAACTGCCTGGGGAACAATGAGACCCCTGTGCAGTTGCAGTGAGCTACGATGACACCACTGCACTTCCGGGCAATAGACTGAGACCCCATCTCAAATAGTCAAGCAAACAAATGGAAAGGTCTTGAGTATAACTCAAAATACAAATTTCTATTGTATCCACCAGGGTAACTTGGTCAGCTAACTGTCACTGTTTGAGTTTCATAAGGACATCATGTGGCTAAACGACAAGTAACTTAAGAGCAACAAGTCAAGGGAAGGTTGAATTCTGATTGAGATTTTTAAACAAAGCATATACCACTGTTTGTAAACTGCACAGTACCCTCAGCGCTTAAGTGGAAGTCAAGGGTATCGTGGTCTTACTTCGCAGCCCTCCGTGTCTTGAATAGTACTTGGCTTGTGGCAGTAAACTGTTTCTGCTTGGCAGTCCTGGCTTCAAGCCTCCCACAGGGAGATTCCTTTTAATGCTCCAGATCCCTTCCAGGGCCACTGTCAATATTAGCAAGAGGATAAGTATTAGCATAATACTTTTTTAGCACAAAGTGATTTTAGAATATTTACTTAGAGATCATTTTCTCAATTATTTGGGTGGAGGTTTATTTGGCATGGTTTATCAAACAACACAAGGTCTTTATCATTTGTTTAATCTTTTATTCAATTTCATTCATTCAATTATTCTCCATGCAATAAACTTCTACAATCTCTTAGATAATTTAATTTGTCCCTAAAATAGATGAAAAGTCAGTTTAGAAATGTACATAACAAAACACAGAAGGATCAAAAATAAATAATAGTTAATACATAGAATTTATTCAGTCAACCTTATCTGACTCTGATTTAATCCTGCAGTAAATGGAAACATTTCCAAAGATAATAGAACCAAAGGTTACCACATTAATTCATCCAGTAGATCCAAGAATCTCCCAAAAGCCATAAAGTCACTGGATCTTACATTTTAAACACCATAGCAAAATACCTGGAAAATGATGTCTGCCTATTGATACATGACAGTTATGCAGGTCTTAAATCCTGATACCGTTGAATAAAGTTTATCTGCACTGGCCTAGAACACTTGTTCAGGTTTTGAGCATAAGTCAACAAACATTTGGTGAATGTCTTACTGGGTAGAAAACTCCAACTCAAGTCAAGTAAGGTGGTGAATTCAGGTTAGTCACATAAATTGTTTGTTTTAATTTCTGAAGCTGCAAACTTTATGACATATATTCTCTACAGATCCAAGGCTGCCCATTGCCATCGTTGTTGACATTTGATCCCTCTCTAGAAAGGGCTCCAAACCAAGTGAACCTTAGACCACAGTCCTTGGGTTCAGAGAAGATGTGGGATTTCAGTACCAGTTCCACTACCTCGTAGTTGCATGACTTTGGGCAGATTATTTAACCCACCTGGTGTCAGTTTCCCCTTCTTTGACATGAGGATAATAATCAGTGTATCTACCTCAAAGGATTATTGCAGGATTTAGATGAGATGGATACACAGTACTTTGTACTTAGTGAATGGTAGCTGTGATTTTGACAGGTGTCCCGATTATACTGTCCAAGTTTGGACTCAATTACCATTTCTAGAAGGATAGTCACTGAACTGACTCACCAAGCTAAATGTCACTTCTTGCCTCTCCCTTCCCTCTCCTAAGCAGAGTAGCTGAGGCTGTCTGTCAAGATTACTTTCTTCCTTCTTAAAGACCTTCTCAAGTAAGTCTCCACAATCTCCTTCTGTCAAAACCTTACAAAGTTCAAGTTGTTCTTTCTTTCTAACCTGAATCTTTCCTTGCTATTCAATCCACTTTTCTCTTCTATCCTGTACAGAGACAGAAAAGGGCTGTTTCCCAGCCTTTGGGTAATAGACTCTCAAATTTAGAAGCCCATAAACATTTACTGAACAGCCCCTGTGCATGACACCCTGTAGGAAACAAGAAAATAAGACTTAGGTTTGTTCATGCTGTGGGAAGAGCCAGTGAAACGGAAAACAGTTCAAAATTAGAAAGAATTGTACAGACAAACCACACCAAATTAGATAGAGGAATAATTGTACTCGTCTAATTTAACTGTGCTCTTCAGATGCAATCTCAGGAATAGCTAGAAGTTTTTAACTCAGTTGGGAAAATACCTAAAATATAAATGCACTCAGACACGTACAAAAAACTCAAAACAAAATATAATTATTGGCTATATTCAAAGATAGAGGTTGCTGGAAAAAAATAGTTCAACTTTGATTTGATCTCATGTTTGGTGAAGTTATAGAAGGTAAAATATTCAGCTGAAGAAAAAGGAATCTAGAAAGGAGCATAGATGCCTTTTTAGGCAGCTGCTGCTTTTAAGAGCGACTTAACTCCCACACAGCTCTGTGCATTCCAGGAGGAAGCAGGAAGACAAAAGTGCAGAGCTGAACGATCCTGGCATCCCTCCCCTCCAAAGGAAAAGGGCAGCAGGACAAGGAGAGACTCAAAGAAAAGAATCAAATCTCTTCGCACAGCTCAGAATCTTCTAGAGACTCCTCACTTCCCTTCTCAGGCCCTTATCCCCTTCTACTCTTCTTAGGTGTTTTCTTAAATCCTAAATTTAAAACTTACTAAACCATGACTGTATGTCAGTTTTAGCCAATGGGACTTTCCTGGTCTCACATGGAAGGTAAACTCACGCTTTAAAAATATGTCAGCTGCAAACAACGAACATCAGAACTTGAAAAGCTAGTTTAAAGCCATATTGTCTATGTTTCCCTTGTGTAAACACAGATTGACTAGAAAAAGAAAAATGTAAGTAATTTTAATTTGTGTTTTTGACTCCTAAACTCTGTAATTATCCTGATATGCCTTTGCTGTCTGGTAAATTCCTCATATATGGTAGGTGCAGAAAATGTTGTTGTTGAACAAAATAATGAATAACAGGCTCGGCGCCTGTGGCTCAAGCAGCTAAGGCGCCAGCCACATACACCTAAGGTGGCGGGTTCGAATCCAGCCCGGGCCGCCAAACAACAATGATGGCTGCGACCAAAAAATAGCCAGGCATTGTGGCAGGCGCCTGTGGTCCCAGCTACTTGGGAGGCTGAAACAGGAGACTCGCTTGAGCCCAGGAGTTGGAGGTTGCTGTGAGCAGTGAAGCCATGGCACTCTACCCAGGGGGACAGCTTGAGGCTCTATCTCAGAAAAAAAGAAAAATAAAAAAAGTAATGCATAACCAAACATCCATACTTGCTCAGTGACATTTTTTGTTTTCTAATTTTATATTTAACATAATAAATAGACCAAGCTAAAAATTAAGTTTCCATGTGTTAAGGCACATATAGACATAAATTATGAATTTGCAGTATACTTTTGAAATTCACTGGAAAAGGAAATGTGGTGTAAAGGGAAAACTATTAAATTTCATTAATCGAACTTTTCATGACTACTACAAACTCTGCAGGGTTAAGCCAGAAAGATACAAAACCCCTTGCAATATAAAACATTAAATGAATGTTGATATATTTCTGCAAAGGCCCCTGTAGAAGTTCTTCGAAATGTTGAAACAGTTTTTAAATAAACAATAAAATAAATGCACTGGTTCCAAATGAGGTTTCTAACGAGCCCAACTTTTTCTTGTAAGTTGTAAGAAGAAGAAAATCTTTAAGGAATTACTGAAAATATATAAGCTAAATTCTTCCTGAGCTAAGAATAAGCTAATTCAGAACATTAGCTAAATTCTTCCTTATCCAGAAAGTTCTGTTTTCATCTGATTAGAAGATCTGATCAGAAAATTGCATTTCTATTTTTTCGGGATGATAAGAACCTTTTCCAGCAGATCCGGGCCCTCTGTCCTTATCTCATAGGAATGTGTAAAGCCTTTAAAACCTGAAGTTACAGAATCTATTCTCAACTAGGCTCAAATAATTCCTCTATGCCACTTCCAGTGGACGGTATAAGAAAGCAGCCCAGACAGTCTCCATTTTATATGAAGGATATTTGAAAAGATTGCTTAGAGAAATGAATTTTTATAAACCAAATGATATTTCTTATTCACTTAGACTCTCATATAAAAGTATAGAGTAAGAATAGTAAAATTTTATAAAAGAAATGCATAAACCAGCTTCTATGTATTCTTTGAAAACAATAAAGACAAACTTAAATATAATAGTATAGACTTGGGAAAAATTTTTAATCAATAGGGAAATAATAAATTTAGGCTAGGTTTCCCAGCAGTAATTTGGTAGGTCATTCTGTATCCATTCATAGAGTTCAAAATAGACGTTAACACCTTCCTTGAATATATTCTATGAGCAAATTTGACCATTTGATTGGTCTCTCCTTTTGTACGAATAGCTGATATGAGGAGGCCCAAGAAGTGTTTCTGTAGCTGGTTTAGAAATGAAAAGTGGTCATATAGTCATGGAGTCTGAAATGATGCACCTGCAGTGTCTCTCTTAGGAATTCTTAGTGAATTGGAACCTCACCTCCAGGTTGTCCAACCATCCTCCACAGAACATATCAAGTTCTCTGTCCTGTCTTCTAGTTCTTTTTATTTCTTCTAGAAATTGCTGGCACCCAAGAATATTATAATAAAAATTTGACAATTTGAAGAGCAAGAAACATGCATCTAGTAATCATTGAGAAGGAATTCTCACATGAAACATCAATGAGAGTTGTCAATGCCCAGACCTTGTAATTCATACAGTCCTTTTTGTGGGAATAAATCTTTGCATGATCTGACCTATTCAAATGAATTAGATCCTCCCAGGTCAGTCATTTGCTAGGTGGGGCTCCTGGACCAGCACAGCAATATCACTTAGGAACTTGGTAGAAATGCCAAATTGTTGGGGCCTACCCCAGCCCTACTGAGCTAGATAGCTAGGGTTGGGGCCTAGTAATCTGCTTTTAACAAGCTTCCAGGTAATTCTGATGCCTAAAGTTTGGGAACTATCGTTATCGGTCATACATGTGTTGATAAAAATCTAAGATGTTCTTGTGTTTCTCAGGCACTTGGAAAAAGTATAACTCATGTGTAAATAAAAATAACTCCACCCTCCCCCCAAAAATAGGATAGCAACGCACACGTCATAAGTACCTTTTAGCTCATTTTTTCTAAATATAAAGGTTCACTGGACATAGGCAAAATAATTAAAAGATAGCTCAAGAATTGCCCAAGAACTCATTTTTTCTTTTAATAGTTACAATTTTGTAATACATAAAATAATCATCCTGTCGTCAAATAGGCAATTTCATGTTCATTTCACAAAGATACTCCATTTGTCACTGCAGTTACCTGTAGATGGATTTTTAATGTGGCATTCATCTCGCTTAATATAAAGTTCTTCTTCCATTACTTCCTTAATTCTCTTATGTGGTTCACAATATAAAAATTTCTTCCCTATAAAGGCATTAACAAAATTAGTTATTTATCATAAATTCTGCCCAAACTTCTACTCATTGCACCTACTTGAATAACTCTTTTTTAAAAAAAAAAAGACGTATTATTCCACACAAATGTCAGACAATTTGCCCTGTAGACTCTGTCTTAGAAAGATCTCTTTCTTTAGAACTTTGGTTCTTTGTGGACTTCATACTTTTATGTAATTCCTAGACTTGCAGGGTAAGTTTCAGGTATCTCTTTTATATATTATGAAGAAATATATAGAAATATATGCGGTTTTGTCATTCGCTTCAAAAAAACGTTCACTCACTTATTTGAGAAGTTATTAATAAAGACCTTCTGTACCAGGCATTTTGCGAGGGGCCGTGCAGAGCAGTCAGAGAGACAGATGTACCCAGGGAGCTTGCAAGTCAGATACTGAAACAGAGCACAATCAGCACTTTTTTCTCTCAGCATTTTGAAATTATTATTTTAGAAGATTAAATGTAAATTTGAATAGTGAACCACTGGCCTCTGATGCTGGCCCTATAGGACATTACTAGTACAGTCAAGGACTAGACGATTTGTTCTAAACAGCTTAGCTACATTTCCTCTATCCACCCCAGGGGTCAGAACTCTGGAGAAACAAAGAGCTCTGTGCTGTCTGGTCTTACCTGCTGCTCTAATCTCTCTGCCAGCCTCGTTCTCTCATAGCTCCAGCCCCGTGGCCCTTCTGTGCATTCCCATCTTTTGTACAAGCTATTTTTGCTTGCTGGACCGCTTTTCTCCTAAGTTTTTGCCTTTATAACTAATACTCAAGTTTTATGCATTGACTCAAATGTCAGTTCTTTAGAGAAACTTTGTCTGACTCCACAATCTAGAAATGCCTTTTTCTCACAGTATCCACCTTTTTTCTTTAATAATTTTGCTTATTGCAGTTTGCATGCAGCTTCCTTTCACTTATATACAATTGCTGTGTGGCTATTAGTTCTAACAGCCACCATAAGGACAGGAGTGTTGTGTTTTCAGTTCTTTAGAGTCCTAGAACAGAGTTTGGCATAATAACAGCAACAAATTTTTTCAACAAATGTGTGTTCAGGTAAAATTAAACACTTAAACAGAGCTCTAAGTGAAGACTGTCCCATGTCTGCAGTGCAAGCTGTGAATGTCAGAGAATCAGTAGGTCTAGTCTCAGTACCCAAAAGTTCAATTCAAGGCACCATGAACAACACAAACCAAATACTTCAGTTATTTAAGATTTTAAAGTGAAAAAGACGTATCTTTTTCAAGCGTCTTATCTTTTCCAGACTAACGAATAAAGAACACAAGTGAGTCAATTTCATAGGGACGCAGACTGGCGCAAGTGGGACAAGAGACTTGCTGCTTCTGGCAGTGATCTTGGGTCATTCCTGGCCACGAAGACACAAACACACCTTTAGACAAGGCCAAGGTAGAACTAGATACTTGTACAGGTGTCCAACCTTCCACCTGTGGGCGGCATGCAGATTATTTGAGGAGTGTTTTGTTCATCTTGGGGTGTTGGATATTGCAAAAATATGGATATCATGAAATGTACGCAGGGACTTTTGCTTTTGCTCATCAGCTTTTGTTAGTGTTTGTGTATTTAATGTGTGGCCCACGGCAACTTTTATTCTTCCAATGTACAGCACAAAAGAAAAAGGGTGGAACACTCTGGGTCTTAAAGTTTAGGGTCTCATTCTTGTTTCCCAAAATTTGGGAGTCACAAATAAAAGATGAGATCAGCATTACTGAGGCCTAACTTTGATTTAATCTTTTTCTGTCAAATCATGATCTTCAAGCAGAAAAAGGTTTAACAAACTTGGCTAACAAGGAAGCAAAGCTTATAACAGGATGGCAGAGAGGAAGAGACCACCTGCTCTAAATTCAGGCTTCCTTGACATGTTTCAGCTCTGCTGCTAAGAAAATTGACAGAGGAAATCACTCAAAGTCACTTGGGGGACTGTGAAAATTCAGAGTTACACTGGGCAAATATAGAAAGGAAGGAAGGGAAGGAAGATAGGAGAGAAAGAGAGAAAATTCTGAGAACTATAACATAGCAGCTCCATGTTAATCTTCACCAACATTTTGAGTGGATTGGTCAACAGATGGCTTGACAGTGATCAGTGGTCACCTAAGAAGGACTGCTGAGAACAATGTTATTCCAGACTTTCTTTTGGAACATTATTTCAGGGTTTCTTTTATGGAGCGCTAATAACAATTGCTGCAATTTACTGAATGCTACCATGCCCTAGGCATCTCGCACACATTACTCTTCCTCTTTACTGTTGTTGTTTCACAGTGACCTCTGGGCAAGTATAATTATTTCTGTTTCATAGTTGAGAAAGTAGCTTCCTGATGTCATAAAATTAAAGTTGTGAAAATGAAAAGCAGTACTTAGGGGACTCTCCTAAGCCTCAGGGTTACTCAAAGTAGTTCATAGTTTACAACCCATAATTATAGTCCTACCACACTATGCTAATCAGATCATACCTAGAATGCCAGGTCAGTGATTTAAATAACTGGAGAATGTTGGAAGAGGACAGCCAGCATGGGGAGTGAACTACAAATGATTTCAAAAGTGATATTGAATCCATTAAAGATTCAGTTGGTCCTCAAATAGCTGCTATTATGTAATTCAAGGATGTTTATATAGGAAAGGATCATACTTTATCTGTGTATGTGTTTTGAGAGCAGGTCTGTGACTGCAGAATAGAAGCTGTAGAGACTGAAGACCTTTCCAATTATAGACTTTTGAAAATTGAATGAGTATGTTGCCTGGATGTGAACAGCCTGTCTCTACTTAGCCTAGGGCCCTAAACAAAAGGTTCTCAGGGAGGCTAAGGCAGAAACTCTTTGCACACCCCCCTCCCCCGTAGACTTTGTGAGCTTGTGGAAATTTGGACATCTGCCTTAATTTATTATTCCTTTCTCTGCAACTTGCCCAACGCTGGGCATGTGGTAAATAATCACTACATGCTGAATTAATGAGTGATTAATTCCACCTTTTACTCCTAGAGCCATAGGACTAGAGAACATTCAGACACTAGCATCTTTAATAGAAAAGTTACCCAACAGAATTTTAAATAGGAATACAGAATCTCCATTACCTAAATATTCTGAATTCAGTTTCTCTAAGTAAGGCCTCTGCATGCTACAAAAGAAACAGAGGTGTCACAGTCATACTGGAGCTCATGCTGAGGGAAGAGGCCCCTTGCTCCAGGAGGCAGTGGTTCTGAGACTCCTTAATGAAGTCTCGGGAGATAGAAGTGTGTGGTCCACCAAAGCAGAAGTATTGAGGCCTTCAGCCCGCCTCTCCCTTGGGGGGCCCTACAGTGCAGAGAATGCCAAGGGACCGGAGGCTGCCCTCCAGAGAGGCAATCAAGGAGGACTGCAGACTTGCTCCATTCCTGGCCCATTATTTTCACCATCATTCCTTAGCACCTACCCCAGACCTTGGGGCACAAGAGGCTGTGAAATGCCTGTAAATTCAGGACACAGTATGGATGAGCAAATTACAACTATGCCAGTTGTCACCGTGTACCAGAACTGTCTTTACTTCTTTGAATATTGTTAGTATGACTGGCAGGGCAAAGAGAAAACAGTAGTATGTCAAAATGTGGCCCATAATTGTGAGATTCTAAGGGAATCAGGTAATATTTGACGGACTGAGAGTCCAAGAAACAAGTGCTGAAATGTTTTAAGTATTTCTCCAGCACTGACTAACTGTGGCAAGTCGCTTCCTTTCCTCTAGTCCAGACCTCAATTTTCTGATGTGTAAAATGAAGAAACTGACGAAATGATGTGCCTATTTCCACGTTTGCCTATATACGCACGCAAGCACATATACATTCACACATAAATGTATACTTACATAAATGCGTGCTCATGTATTATATATATATAAGTGTGTGTGTGTGTGTGTGTGTTTTAATCCCTTCCCGTATAATGCCACTACGTACAATGCTTAAGTCCTCTTAAGCAGGAAATGATGCCCAGACTCTCAGCTCAGGCAGACTTTTGTGAAAGTGGGCTTGGGGACCAGATGCTTTCTGCCACAGTGCCACCCTCTCCCAGCAAGCCCTCAAGGCCTGATCCCGCCTCACTCCGTCTCCGCGTCTACCCCTAGCCTCAGAGTCTGCAGCAGCAGGGGCTGAACTCACACTGTTTGTCGGGTTCCCGCGGGCAGCCCCGGCCTGGTTCTCCGCGCGCCCCGCACCCCAGCGCCGCGGGCTGCCCAGGCTGCTCCCTGTCGCGACCCGCCTGGGACACCGTCACAGCCTCCTCCACCCTCATGCCCCGCGCTCTTCTGCGCGGCCCCGGGCTGTCGGCCTGCTCAGCTCAGCCACACGCGTCCCGGACCAAGAGGCGTCTCCGGTTGCCATAGTGACTGCGGAGCCTCCCCGCCCCCAGCCGCCCTCCGCGCGCTGCTCCGCGGCCCCAAGGGGCCTGCGCGCTCTAGAAGGTAAGCAGGGGCGGTTACTGGGCAAAGCTCCGGACTTTCGTTAATTTCTCCTTGATTTCGCCTACCAGCTCCGCTAAAGAGACCTTACTGTTCCCAGATAAAGAAACTGAGATTAAAGAACTAATGGAATTGCCCAAGGCCACGCAGCTGGGAAGTAAGTGCCACCGTTGGAATGTGGACTCAGAACTAAGTCTGGCGCCACAGCCGGGACAATAGATGGCCCCCAACAGAAGGCGAATTCAAGGCACGGTCGCCGGTGTCACGCCCGTGAGCGTGAGGTCCTGCTCCCTGCCCCCACCCCACACACAGACACACACACACACACACACACACACACGCACACGGCATGTGAGTGAATAAACGTTGAGGATTTCCAGCTTTTGGATTGTAAATTATTATTGTTGTTAAGCAATGGTTTTAGTTTCCAAACACTTTTGTGTTCACAATTTATTAATATTTCAATCCATATAATAACTAATTTTACTGATGAGGGAATCAGATTCAGACAAAACTGATTTGAAGAGCAAGTAGGAAAATCCAGACTTTAATATGGAGAATGAGGTTGCTTGTGTTTGTTTTGGTTTTTGCAGTCATTTAAAAAAGCGAATTATGTTGTGGTGTTAATTTTATGAAAGTTAAATGTGGATGACTTTACAGAGCTAAATAGTTCTACAGAGCTGGTAATCAAATACAGAAGACCCATCTGCCTCCACTGCACCCCCGAGACAAACCACTTTTCTTTTGGCTGATAATTTAGTTATATTACTACTTATATATAACTTATATTACTACTTTTTATGTTTTTTAAATTTAGGTGTCATGTTGATTTCCTACAGGATATTAGATTTAGCCTTTTTTAATGCTCTCTACATTTTAGAGACTTACTGCTCCCTCCTACTACCATGACAGATAAACTGAAATTCGGGCTACAGCAATATTTAATGTTTACATTACTATAACTATATAAAGGTTGAGCTATATCGTATTCGTAATGTCATATGATCATTTTCCCTGTCTGTACAACCTTCTAGTTGTCTGAAGTTAATAATCATCTTGTTTTTTAATTTGCTTGGTTGTTAATGTCCTTATCTAGTTAATTTCCGAACTCTTTCTCTTTGAGTAAACTCTCTTAATTGTGCAAACGCAAGAGGAAGTCTATCAATTTCATCTTTTGGAAAAAGCCCCTTCCACAAGAACTCCTGATCTGTCCCAGTCTGGCCTGGCTCCTCTCTAGGCCTGTGGTTCCAAAGCTGTTGTCTAAAGATGTCCCTTTACCATGCTGCCTCTCTTTGCATTGGACCCTTGATTTTGTGGATCTCATCGTTTTTCTTTTCTAGTTTACTCACTTACTTGCTGGAGGATATGTTCAGTAGCTTTGTGAGAAATGCTGTGTGAGAGGTAAAATGTCCACACCTTTATAGATCTGAAGATGTCTTTATAAAATGAAATGTCTCCATTTGTCTCTCCTAAAGTGGAGGTTTGGGTAGGTAAAAGCTATAAATTGAAAATAATTTTCCTCAGATTTTTTCACTCAGTGCAGTGTTGTCTTCTGGCACCTCCTGTTGCCATGGAGAATTTTGCTGTCATTCTATTCTTGATCTCTGCACAGAACCTGTTTTCTTCTTTCTGGGAATGCAGAGGATCTGCTCTTCATCCACATTGTTCTGAAATTTCATGACCTTGATAAAGGTCAGTTTTTCATACATTTTGCTGGGCACTCAGTAGATAATTTCAATCTAGAAACTAAATCCACGCCTTCTCCTGCAGACCTTCAGTGGACCCAGAGTTTCAAAGTAATTACATCAGACAGATTCTGTCAGTGCAATTGTTGTTTAGGCAGGGAGAGAGATTCTGGTTGCATTCTACCCTCCCCTCCACCTTTTTTTGCAGTTTTTGGCTGGGGCTGGGCTTGAACCTGCCACCTCTGGCATATGGGGCCAGTACCCTACTCCTTTGAGCCACAGGCACCACCCTACCCTTCCCTTTTTTAAGAGTTCTTTCTGGCACTCTTTATTTATTTTTCTTTTATTTATTATGAGGGTACAAATTTTTAGATTACATTATTCTCACTTTCAAGGTGAAGTTGCAGTTGTAAAAGAACCTCTCACCCAGGGGGCGTGGTATACACCCAAGCATTTTGCCCATTAGGTGAGATCGCCAAATGCTGGCCCTCCTTCTGCCAGTCGTCCTCCCCCTCCCCTCTCAGTCCTCCCCCACACCCCGACCAGACTGTATTGTGTGTTATTGTTCATGTGAGTATGGAATTGTTCATATATTGGTTCATTGAGTATTGAGTCTATTGGATATTTATTTTGCCATTCTTGTGATACTTTACTAAGAGGAATGTGTTTCAACTCTATCCAGGTAAACATAATACATGTAAAGTCTTCATCTCTATTTTTTTTTTTTTTTTGAGACAGGGTCTCACTTTGTCACTCTCAGTAGAGTACTGTGGTGTCACAGCTCACAGCAACCTCAAACTCTTGGGCTCAAGCGATTCTCTTGTCTCAGCCTCCCAAGTAGCTGGGACTACAAGCACCCACCACAGTGCCCAGCTATTTTTAGAGGCGAGGTCTCACTCTGGCTCAGGCTGGTCTCGAACCTGTGAGCTCAGGCAATCTACCTGCCTTGGCCTCCCAGAGTGCTGGGATTACAGGCATGAGCCACCAAGCCCAGCCTCCATCTCTGTTTATGGCTGAATAATATTCCATGGTATACATATACCACAATTTGTTGATCCATTTATGTAAATTCATATTTCTATCTATTGTCATTTTTCTTCTGCCTGAAGAACTTCTTTTAACATTTCTAGTAGTGATTGCTAGTGAATTTTTTTCAGGTTTTATATCTTGAGAAAGTCTTTTTCCCCCCTTTTGCTTTTGAAAGATAATTTTGCTAGGTGTGAAGTTTTAGATTGATGATTTTATCTTTCTGTAATTTAAAATTGCTGCTCCACTAGCTTCTCATTGGCCTAGCTTCTGTTGAAAATTCTATTGTCAGCATTGTCTTTCTTTTTCTGTAAATATGTCTTTTCTTTAGCTGCATTTAAAATTTCTCTTCACCTTTGGTTTTGAGCAGCTTGATTATGATGTGTCTTGGTATTGTTTTCTTTGTTTTTTGTGCTTGGAGTTTGTTGAGCTTCTTGGGTCTATGGGGTTCACAGTTTTCAACGAATTAGGAAATGTTTTAGACATTACATTTTCAATATTTTTTCCTGTCTTCCTCACCCTCTTTCACACACTTTATCTGTATGTTAGGGTGCTTGAAGTTGCCCCACGGCTCACTGATGCTCTTATATCTCTCTGTTTAACTTTATATAGTTTCTGTCCTTATGTGTTTAAGGTTACTAAGTTTTCTTTGCAATCTTAATCTATCATTAGTTCTATAGTAATGAAAACTAATGTCTTTTATATATCTACTTACCACTTTTTGTTGTTGTTTTTGAGACAGAGTCTCACTTTGTTGCCATTGGTAGAATGCTATGGTGTCATAACTCACAGCAACCTCAAACTCTTGGGCTCAAGTGGTTCTCTTGCCTCAGCCTCCCAAGTAGCTGAGACTACAGGCACCTGCCCAGTGCCTGGCTATTTTTAGAGACGTGGTCTCACTCTGGCTCAGGCTGGTCTTGAACCTGTGAGCTGAAGCAATCCACTCACCTGGGCCTCCCAGACACTACGTTTTTGGAACATATGGAATATAGTTATAATAACTGCTTTAATGTCCTTCTCAGCTAATTCTTTCTTTTTTTGTTATTGTTGAGACAGAGTCCCACCCTATGCCCTGTGCAGAATGTAATGGTATCATAGCTCACTGCAACTTCAGACTCGTCTGTGGGCATCCCACTGTCTCAGCCTCTGGAAGCTGCTGCTTACAGGTACTCATCTCAGCGCCCAGATGGTTTTTTCATTTTTTTAGGAGTTGGGGTCTCACTGTTACTCAGGTAAGTCTTGAACTCCTGAACTCAAGCAATTCTTCCTCCTCAGCCTCCCACAGCGCTGGGATTACAGGCGTGAGCCACTGCGCCCGGCCTTCTCTGCTACTTCTAATGTGTGTCAGTTCTGGCTCTGTTTCAGTTGGTTAATGGTTGGCACTTGTCTGCTTGTCTGCTTGTCTGCATGCCATGAAATTTTTGATTGGTTGTCCAGTGTCTTGAAAACTCTTGTTTCCTGTATTTTATACATTTCTTACTGACTATTTCAGATAAGAGGGCATATTCATCCCTGTTCCTCCATTTTGGGAAGAAGTGGAAGCCTGTGTGCCTTGCATTAAATTAATACATTAAAGTATTTGGGGGAAGAGAATGACATGGTCAGATAAGTGACTTAGAAAGGGGAGTAAGATGAAGATGGGAAATACTGCCAATGATGGACTGTTAGAATGCTGTTTTTCACACCGGTCTGTTCTCTTCTTGCATCTATGGGCCCAGCTCAGTTCTAAGCACATAGAATGGGTCTAGATGAAATGAATTGAATGAATGAATGAAGATCCTTTCTGCTGGAATCTTCACTGGAATTTTAGAAAGGGAGGCTGGAAAATGTAGAAGAAAATTCTTTATTTCTTAATCATGGTTAAGATGTTTAACTAATTGATTAAGAACAAATTCCTTGTTTTATAGAGTCTCAATTTTCCTGTTTGCAACTTGGAGAGTATAACTACTTAATGGAACTGACGTAAGTATTAAATGACACTGTATGTAAAACACACAGTACAACTGAATGTACTCTTTAAAAGAGTGAATTTTATCCCAATAAAGCTGTTCATACATACAGTGTAGTGCCTGGCATATGATAGGGATTCAACATGTTATTATTATTATTATTCAACATATTAT